TGGCAATCACAGTTACTATTAATTATAGTGAATATTTAACAATAATACCTACCATCTGTTATCAGAGTTTTGGAACTGGAGCTGAAATCAAAAATTTTTTTAAAGAATATATTAATTTATTTACAGATCACATTTTGAGTATATAACACAAACTTTTATAACAATTTATACTTTTTACGTACTACCATTGATTAATCAAGGTGTCTATTTTTCCACTTTACTATCAATATCTTACAGCCATTTTGTCAAATCTAACAAATCTTCACCTATATAAACATGTCAAAATTAGAGATTACAGTTTAATTCAAGCTTCTCATTCAGTTTCTTGCCATGTCTTAGTTTTTGTTTATATATATTTTCTTTACTTGTCATAAATTAAAAGAGATTTTTCAATTCTATCGTTTCCAGCTTCTTTGTTCTGTACATCTTTACACCATTTAAGTCTTTTCTACATCTGAAGTACAGATTTGTACAAATTTGCTCCCTGGTAAAGTATCAATAAAAGTTATGGAGAATTCAGGAACAAATTACAACTGCTTTATAATGCAGCGAAGTAAACAATCACAAAGTACAAAATTAGTATATAATTTTATATCGAAGGAAAGAAGCATTATAATATTAATTTCACATTCGAATTTTAAAGCAGTTTTCGTGAGTTGTTCTTAAATATTACACACGACGTACACTTGTGTGAAGAAATAAGTAAACATCTGTAAAAATTAAAATGCATGTAATTTTAATTATGTATTATTATTGTTTATAATTAAATGAATTTATGTACTTATTATTATGTAAAGTTAAAGCGGATAAATAAATGAAATATTAAACTATTTAATATTTCAAAACTTTACATGCAATTTATAGTTATTATGCAATTAAAATGTCTAACATATACATATTTTTATATTATTGAATATAGCTTTTGTATGTCTATTTATATGAGCGATTTTTTGGGTGCGATATAAACAATTTCAATAATGCGCTAAGCATAAAAATTGCACGGTTAAGAAACAATAAGGTGCTTGAACTGAATAGACATTTTTATAGCGGGAATATAGTTTAGAAAATAGTTCATTTGATTTGAACATTACACGAGAATTTTAAAAAAATAAATTTGTAATTTTCCTAAGATTTTCCATAATAAAAAGTGAAAAAATTAATATATTAAAATAAAAAAATTAATTAAAATTTTATATTTCGTTTTCTTTCTTCGTGAAGAAGAGGTACTTAGCAGTTGACCGTTCCAGACATTTCATATGTATTGGACTTACTCGAAAAAAAAAAAATAATACAGTAACGCATCGATTATACGAATCAATTAAAAGCTGGGGTTGTTCAGAAAATCGATATTTCGGATAACCGATTATGTTCGAAAAAATATAACTTATCGCGTGTTGAAATCTTTCTCCATTGAGTGTCGCTTCGCGTTGAATTTCCGTCGATGTTAAGCTTAACGAAGACTATTGTATCGTTAAAAATTATTTTTTTATTTTGTGCAAACAAAATAAATATATTGAACAATATAAAAACAATAAAAAATTATACTTCAAAAATTAATTTAGTATCAAAAACGTAAAATATTTGAGTAGCCCAACACATAGCCAAGATGACAGCGCCACAGCAGTGGCGAAAATTTAAATTTGCCAATTGGAATTCTTTCGGATAATCGACGCTCTAGTGTATTT